ATATTCTTTTCTGAGAAAACCTTTAACCATGTATTGTCCCTGACTTGACATACATGTAAATTAAAATGCATAGAATGTTCTATGAAGATGATGAGGTCACTAAAATTCTTTTGACATAGAAACTGCAATAGCCCGCTATCTCACACACGATGCTCAGTGTAGACGTCTGAGATGTGGGCTAAGAGTCAGGTCTCTTCCTAGGATGTCCACACAGTCCCTAAGACTGTTTACAGCATCACCTGTGTGTGAAGCCAGTGGCTCCTAACATGTATTCCCTGTCCCGTCTAGCCTTGAGAATTCAAGTCTTCTACTTATGACCAGTTGTATGTCTAAAAAAAAAAAAAAAAACTGACCAAAAGGATGCTGGTCATCCTTTGGATGCTGTGCCCCAAAGTAAGTACACTAGTAAGAACGATTGTTTGCATGAAGGGTCTCCATTTGAGTGAACGCAACACCACACATCTAGCTGTTCAACAAAAGCCTGTGTGTTATTCTTGGTTATTCCATCTACTCTTTCAAGAATCCCACAAGTAGATCCTAAGGGCTCTACTTCCAACATACACCAACTTAACTCTGTTTCCACTGACATCATGCTGGTCTAAGTCTCCACTATCGGTATAAGTTACTGCTTGGCACCACATCTTCATTCCTTCTCTCCATTGTATTTCCCACACAGCAACAAGGGTAGTCATTTATAACTGTAAACTCAACCTTCTCATTTGCAAAAACAGATTCCACATTTTTTGGAATGTATATCAAGTAAAGTCAAATTTCTTCCAGTGCCTTGTAGACCAAGATATCTAGCCTTTTCGCCCCATGGCCAGTGTCCCGCCATTCTCCTTTTGGATCTGAGTCCTAGTACCACTTCTGGTGCTTAGCAAAGGCAGCCATCCAGTTCCATCCAGTAGGATGTTGCTCCACCATCCTCCAGGGTCTACTTCAGTCCTTTTCAGCCCTCTGTGCACATGTGACTAAACTCAGAAAGCACACCCTATTACCACCAGCTTTATTTTCTTCCTGTTTCGTGGCGTGTTCACGTTAGCAGGATTCCTGTCAGACTCATCAGAACGCAGCCTCATGAGGGAGGGACCATGGCTGTCCTGCTCACTGCTCTAGCTCTAGCACCTGGGATTCTGAGAGGAAATGCAGGCTCAAGAGGCCAAGCATGTCATTCCAGGCTACACCGTTAGCAAAAAGTGCGGCTGAGAGTTGGACTTAGGTTTTGTAATTGTAAAATCAACAGCCTTCAGTTTCCTTTGTGCTGTGTCTTGGGCAACACTTCAGCATGCTCTGCCACATTTGACTTCCATGCTTCCACGAAAAGCAGCCACATGGTTTTCCCACTCATTCTTGTCCACCTGACTATAATGATTAGCTGTTAAATATCTACTGCTGTGTGATCCTGGGGAGATTTACTAGGTGACTCAACTGATTATTATAAGTAAGCACTTCTACAGAATCATGTGCTTTTGTCCTCAAAGGCTCCAGGGAACCATGTTTGCAGTGATGAGAAAGAACCACAGACAGCTTACAGAATCTGTTTTAATGTCTGCTGATGACAGAGCAGGATCCTAGCTCCCCGGTCTAACAGGGTACCCAGCTCCTGCTTTAGTGATGGAAAGTGAACGTCATCCACGCCTGAGTAAACAAAGAATGCAAGTCATGCTTTTAGGTTTTAGGTAGAGTAAGAACACAGGTTGGATGTAGTGGCACATGCCTTCAATCTCAGCACCTGCAGGTACACCTGTCTCAAAAATAGAATTATAAAAATATTTAAAACATTGAGTCACAATCATGGATTTTTCTCTGGTTATGAGAAAAGACTGGAAGTGTGATAGAGTCAATGCTAGAATCACTGCATGTACAGAAAAGACTTGGCTTAAATTCATGTGTCACCAAATTAATATTGTAAAATAGGATGTAATAGTTGATCTAAAAAAATAAGTATATAAAAATATGTAAGGGAGAGGAGAACAAGCATTGTGATACAGGAAAAAAGACCCCGGAACTTTGAAAACAAGGATCTAGGTCGATGGAGCTGAAGTTATCAGAACCTTGGACAGCACCGAGAGGGGTTTTGGTTCCCTCAAAAGACTATGAGATACTAAATTCATATTTTATCTTTATAGGTTGTTCTCAGCTTCTCTGCTTTCTTTCACAGCTGCACATATAAAAGCTTATTACGTGCAGAACCTTTACAATGATGGGATAATTTTTAAACAAGTTTTCCTGCTGCAAAATGCCTGACTGCCATCTTTAAGTTTTTCCATAGATATGAAAAGACAGTAAATTTTAATTTTAAATGCTGGGTGTTATTCTACATCCCTTCAAAGGAGAACAGATTTAAGACACACACAGGTAGATCTGATCTGAAGCTTACTAATTAGCAGTCCTTCTTACACCCTTATCATTTTTATGTACTTTTCTGCTTTTGCAAGAGTGGGTTGTAGCAGTTCCCAAAGTGCCATGGCTGGATTCTGAGTCACTAAGCAAGACATGCACCTTCACATTTGCTTTTACACAATTCCTAAAAACACAGTTTTAGAGTCTTCCCTATTGTCAGGTATGACAAAAGAAACACTCTGTAAACCCTTAGCCTTATCACCAAGCCAAGGATCCTTTCTTTTCTGTCTGTGAAAATGAAGTAGGCCAAAAGCTTTGTCGATCTGCTCTTGAAATCAATATGGTTACAAAACTCACTGTGACTACTCTGTATCTTTACAAATTTTGTGGGGCTGCCCTGTTTCCCACCCCCACAAAGGGCTGATTGAGGTGGCAAATTAATCCTCTACAGCGTGTAAAACAAGGTTCTGGGAAGCCCTAAGCCCACTGGTAGAGCACAGGGACGCTGTTGTGCTCAACCCTTCATCTCCAGGGAATCAAAAGGAGCCACAATGCAGTCATCAGCATGTTTTCACTCTGCAAGACCCACACTTCCTATTTAGAGCACACAGCCATAGCCTATTCTGCATTCTCACAAGGCTCCTTTTATTTATTTGTGTTTGTTATTATATGGTGCATACCGACATGTTTGTGTGACTCCACTGGTGTGTACACACCCATTGAGAGGAAAAAAGAATGTCCATTGTAAACTTGTTAAAAGGAGAAAGAGACCCCCACTGTTTTCCCTTTGGTCAGACCTCTATGGAGAAAAGATTTTAACTCTCGATGCCCCAGAAGGGAATGGCTTCTTTGTTATTCCACATTTTGTAATGGCTGGAGATCACAAATGCATCCTAACTTCCACAGCTCACATCAGACAGTGAACTATGTGTGGGAAAGCTGATACTTAACAGCTCAAGTTGTTCTTACAAAGCAAGATAAGCATGGCCATGAAGAAACTTACAAGGACTCGGTTGTGGAATAGCATTTTTGTGAAGATTTTGGTTGGACCTTTACTGGTTTTATTTTGGAAGTAAGTATAAATATGAACCATGGGATGTCTCCTGATACTTTAGTTTTGAACTGCTTGCTCAGCAAAATAATGTTAAGCACCCACACTATGAACCACCAGCTCACGGTGATTTTATTAGTAATTCAGGTAGCTGCATAGAGTCAGTGCCTCCATACTCCAGGTCTACTTGGTATAAAAATGTAAGAAAGCTAGCTAGATCCCAATATATTCTTGCTCTTCCAAATTACGTCTGTACTTATGGCAACCAAGTTAAAACTGAGTGGTCTTTTGTTGCAGCCACATTTTTAAGCAGAAGATGCTATGGATGTCCCTTTCACCCAGAGACTGCACACCAGGAAGAAAATAAGTATTCCTTCTGTGTCAAAGAGGCAGGGGTATGGGCAAGAAGTAAGCATCTGCCTTTTTATGGAACCCATAACTCTAAGTCAACCTGGGATACAAACGGTTAAGTGCCACATGTTCTCTCACCCATTCTCACTCCTTTCTAACGTCCAAAGGACAGGGCTCAGTGACAACACAGTGCATGAAATGAAGAGGGAGGGCTCTCAAATTAATTAACTGGAAATGAGTCATGTCAATGTTTTGGAAAGGCGGAGGGGAGAAAAGAGATTGGTAGAATTAGTCACAGTGAGAAACTTACTTCAAGTGCCCGCCAGCGCTCAGAAATCCAGTGAGAAGTAGAGAATCAAAGGAATGAAGCATACTTGCCATCTGAAAGGATGCACAGAATCCAATCAAGGGTCCCAGTCGTTGCCAAGTAGGGGGTATGCCCTCAAAAATGTTTATTATCAACTACAACGGTAAGCACAAGGTACATGACTGGAAAGCGTGTTCTACCCAGGGGGACAAAGGTGAGGCAGACAGTCACACTTACTGCACAGAAATAAAGGAAATGTCCACTTGTAGCTTACACACATTGAACTCTAAAGGGCGAGAGGTCCCCGCATCTGTGCTCTACATTTCCAATATTTGGGATTCATATACTGCAGAGATGAGAGATTCACGAGATGGACTCTGAACGTGTTCAGATGGAGATCATTCACTAAGAAAAAAACAAACAGAAACAGGGTCATAGCGACAGCACATCTATTTACAAGAACCATCAAAGGGAAAATGCAGAGCTTTGCTTACGTCATGGTCACTGGGAAGACCCTTAAAGGACATACGCGACAGCACACAAAAAGCTGCAGTGAATGCTGCTACTTTAAAAAAAGCCCGGTTCCGGCCAGGAACTTGTTTATAACATATACGTTTCAGTATGCTTTTTATGTCATGATCTGCATTAGTTGTAATTTTAAGCAAACGGAATCACAAAACCTGACTAAAAAGTTCTTTGCAGCACTATTCAGGTTTGCTTATTTAGCAACTTCTCCCTGTCTTCTCTGTTCTCTGTAACAACCTCTCACTTCCAAGGTTACAGGGACACAGGGCAGCTTCAGGGAGAGATTGGAGAACAGTTCACATACGAGTACTTACAGGTGGGGGGATGTCATTATTGGACTTCAGAATCAGTTTCTCTCCAATCTTTTCAACTTCAAAACCCATTTTCTTCAGCAGAGATGCATCTGCCAAGCCCTGCTCCTCCATTTTTGCAATGAAATCTTGGTTTTGGCTGTTGTCTTCAGTGAGATTTCGCACGGCGTACACCACCCACTGCATCATAACTAGAGCACAGTGAAGGAATTTAACAGCACACTTCCCCATTTCTGTAACTCACATGACTGTTGGAGGAGTACAAGAATACTGATGAGATTTTCTAGAGGGTTAGAAAGAATATAAATATACACACCACGAGGAAACCATTTAAAAGGCCGTAAAAGTGCACACGTGCTTGTGCATCCCACATGTGATTCAGCAGCCAGCCCCGGAGAACAGCTCACAGAGTGCCTAATGAACAAGATCATGAACACGCACACACGCACATGCATGCACATGCGCGCGCGCGCACACACACACACACACACACACACACACACACACACACACACACACACACACA